TTTTTCCCCTCAAAATGTGCGGTGCGCCCTATGGTGCGGTGCGCCCTATGTGTGTTGTAACTGCGACTTTTGAGACCACCTCATTGAGGAGATGATGAAAGAGTGGCTGAATGTAAGGAGACTAGCTGTTTTTTTTCCACTCATCACCATTAATCTGTAACTCCATGCGTGCCCATCTCACAGCCGATGTGAAAAACATGGGGAAACAAATTAACCCTGTGCTCGCTGTTCAACCGCTCAACATCGGTGTGAACCGGACCCAGCAGGTGCAGCAGAAGCAGCGAGTTTACATGCAAAGTCAATGGTTGACGCGCGTATAGGTGCAGCAAAAGGTCCTGCAGCGCGTTTTGAGCTGCAGGTGCAGCACGTCGGGATCGTTTAAGCATCTGACGCACCGCCAACGCGCTGCTGCTGCTCGAGATGGAAAATTTTAAGTTTTGCTGCTGGACGCGCCGCATCAACCAATCAGAGAAGCTGATCTGGGAGCTGACAGCGAGACAGACACAGCGCTCTGATGAAAGAGGAGATGATGAAAGCGTGGCTGAGGGAGGTGTAGCCTATGTGAGGAGACCAGGTGTTTTTTTCCACGCATCACCATCGCTGCGTGCCCATCTCACAGCCGATGTGGAAAAAAAAGGTGAATCAATGAACGCTGTGCTCGCCGTTATCCCGGGGGGTCTGACAAAGGAACTTCAACCGCCCAACATCGGTGTGACGCGGCCGTTCAAAGTAAGGCTGCGAGCGGTGTGGGAGCGATGGATGACCGACAGAGACCACAGTTTCAGGATAAGTGGAAGGCAGCGCCGGGCAAGTTACGCCACAGTTTGGGGATGGATTGTAGATGGACTAACATGTCTGCTGGCTCTGTTCTTCAAGCTTTTGCAAAAGCCGGCATTATTTCTGAGGAGCTGCGCTGCACGGAAAGTGACTGACAGCGAAGAAGGGGAAATTGGCATGTCTGATTTAGCGCAGCTGTTTAATTCAGAAACAGAGGATGATGACTTTGATGGGTTTGATTAATACTTTGTAATAAATAGCCTACATGAATAAAGCACAATCATACTCAGTTTTGCTCCCGCTCTATTTTTCTACCTGAAAACTTAATTCAACAGCAGCCTCTGGGCGCGTCTCCTCCTCTTCACCGCGGTGGCTGGCAGGTGTTTTTTCATCTAAATAATCTTAATCTTGCAGCTATATTTGCTGTGATCAGTGGGAATAAAGTAGTTTTAATATGTTTTTAAGTGAGAAAGGCCACCTGAAAACTTCATAATTGCAGTCAGTTCATCCAGATTATCTATTTCTGTCGGAGGCGCTTAGACCCCCACATACCAGCGGTGCACCGACAGCAGAAATCCTTTCGTTCACCGCGGCTGCTGGCAGGTGTTTTTCATCTAAATAATTGAAACTGCAGGCACCAGGATACCGGCAATAAAAGCGAACATATTCCGTCGGCAGGTTTCAGGATTTTAAGTTAATTTAGGAGTGACCACAGCGCTGTGTCATCTGCGATGTGTCTGTCTCACGGCCAGCTGCCAGGTTTGATTAATACTTTGTAATAAATACATGAATAAAGCACAGTCATACTCAGTTTTGCCCCCGCTGTATTTTTAAATACGCAGTAGAGGTATTTAAAGGTAGTAGAGGACATGTACCGGTATATAAAAAACGCCTTATGTGTGTGTTAAATACAGAAATGGGACACATAACTGAGAGTGCGCCTTTTAGTACGGTGCGCCTTATGGTCGTGAAAATACGGTAAATTAACCTAAAACTTGGGAACCTGCCTGCAAAATATGTAAAATTCTCTTAATCTGGTACTTGCAGTTTGGATAACGAACGAGAAAAATGCTAACATCTCCTTCCAAAAAGTGCGAACAGTAGCGGAAAATCGCAAAGAGGCGACTGGGCCAGAGGCTGCTGTTGAACTGGGTTCCTAGTGACAGAGCTCCGCCGGTGTACGGCGATCTGAGCGGCTCCGACAGAAACAATATTTGAAGGCAGGATCGTAATCTGGAGGACCTGACTACACAGATGAAATTTTTAAGTGTACTTTCTCACTTTAAAACATCTTGAAACTACTTTTTACCCACTGATCACAGCAAATATAGCTGCCATTGGTACAGGCAAAGAAAGGAGAGGGTAGCTTCACCCAACCCACATCAGACCGACTTTTCGATCGCGCAGTTGGAGCAGTAAAGATGCTTCAGCCGTGCGTCAGTACTGAACTTGTAAAAGCATAAAAAATGAAGCAGCACACATGTTTTTGCTGCTCTTGCTGCTTGCAGTCTGAACATAGCATTATGCTGTGTTCACACTGCGAGCAGCAGAAGCAGCAGAAGCAGCTAGTTTACATGCAAAGTCCATGGTTGACACGCATCTTGGCACAGCAAAAGGTCCCGCAGCAAAAGGTCCACTATCAGCAATTTGATAGTGGTCAAGAAAGAAACACAGAACACTAAAGAACAGAGGAAAACATTAACACAAGAATAGAAAAATCCTTCTCATAAATAACTATGGTGAGGGCAGCCAAGCCAACAATTGCCCATAACAACCCGTCTTTCAAAGGCATAACCGACTATCGGTATTGCAGGCTAACAAAGAACCCAAAGCAACTTCCCATTCCAAAGGAGGGGACACGTTCTTGTGGTTCAATTTGCATGTTTTCTAAGCCAAAACAGGTTTTTGGGCTACTATATAAAACTTCAAACTCAACGCTAATTCTGACATTTTTAATCGAAAAAGCTTCTTTGATGGGAAGCAAAACGTCTTCAAACTTGGGAACCAAGTCCATAGGATTGTTTTTTTTTTTTTACTTTTTTGCAATGACTATGACCTGGATGACTGAGAATCTTCACCAGCATATACTGAGAATTATACTCAGCCCTACATAGTTATGATCTACATCATTAGCAACACAGACACAAACACATAGGTTTCTAAAGGTCAAAACGTGTTTTTTATAAAACATTTATTGTTGATTTTTTTTTTATACCTTTCATGCATTTTAGTTAATCAATCACTGTTTTTGGACGGCAAAGTGGCGCAGTTTGTAGCGCTGTTGTCTTGCAACAAGAGGTTGCTGGGTTATATTCTTTCTGTATGGAGTTTGCTGTTCTCCCTGGGCATGCCTGGGTACTCTCCAGGTACTCTGGCTTCCTATCACTGTCCAAAAACACAACAGATTAATTGGTCTCTATTAACTGCCCTTAGGTGTTGTTGTGTTACTCTGTGTTGCCTGCAACAGACTGGTGACCTATCCAGGTTGTAACCCCTCCTTTTGCCTATAGACTGCCGGCTATGTGCACCAGCCCAATTGTGACCCTGACAGAGAAGCAAGAGAAGATGGGTGGATGAATATTTTCTGAATTGTAAAACATTATAAGAAACTAGTGCTGTCAAAATTATCGCGTTATTAACGCGTTAACACGAAGCCATTTTAACGGCGATAATTTTTTTAAAGTGAGATTAACGCTATGTGGTTTTATGGTACAATTTTCCAAGTACATCCCGCTGCAGCCTGCGGGAAGGCGGGGCTATTTTCCCCCAGTCTATGCATTTCTCATAGGCTTCAAGAGCGGAGCTCCTCAAGGGAAAAAGATGCTCATACACTGGGTGACGCTAGTGCCTTTTCTTTAAGCCCCACCAACAACAAACAAGTTGAGTGTCTGGTAACTAGTAGCAACCTGAAATACGCTGAGAAAACAGATTACTGAGGTGAAATGGAATCTGCTACGGCACTCTTGCTGTCTGTGTACGCCACAGGTCAGTATCGTGTGTGTGTGTGTGGGTGGGTGTGTCTGTGTGTGGGTGAGTGGGTGTGTGTGTGTGTGTTCTCATTTTTGTTATAGACTACCTTCATCTAGTGATGTCGGTCTATTGATTTTGATGTATTGATTGAAAATTGTTCATTATTACCTTGGTTAATTAACATCTAATGTTAACTCTACTAAATTTTATAGCAGTAGGGTAAAATGCTTGTCTTTGTTCAAAAGACTGTATTAACTGTAAAGACTGTCTTTTACATCAGCCTGTTTTCAGGGCCTTTTCTTTGGCTACATATTTGTTATTTTTTGCTACATGCCTCCCCATCTTCTTGCCATATGTTTCTATGGCATAAATCAGTATCTGTGACCTGTTTTCATTTTTAAAAAAGAACATTGGCACAAACCTAGCCTGTATGTATTTTTTTGTATGTCATCGAGAGTATTTAAATGATTTTCAATCAGGAAAAAAATGTGCGATTAAAATGTGATTAATCGCGAGTTAACTCAGGCATTGATGCGATTAATCGCGATTAAAAAATGTAATCGATTGACAGCACTATAAGAAACATTATAATGTGATACATCTTGGCTTACTCATACAATAAAAAGTGTGTTTAAGTTGTATCAGAATAAACAAATTATGCCATGTTTTTTTTTAAGTAAAAAAGGACATATATTCAAAAAATAACCCTACTGCTTTGTATGTGACACTAACATGTGTGTCTGTGTTCAGTTGTTTATGTTGCTTTATGCTCATTTATTAACACCAGCTGTAAACCAGATTACATCATAGGATAATAAAGATATAATGGACCTTGCACTTTGCACCTTCTTGCAAAATAAAGTTGTTTAAATATCTTACCAAATGTTTACTTACATAGACTTGTTACCAAGCAAAGCCAATTGGTAAAAAAAAAAACCCTAACAATCCGCTGGAAATGAATAAGTCACTCCAGCATTCTCTGAACCTATTCCCCTCACAGGAAGTTTGGAGAAACAGCATTGCCTCTAATACCTCTTGCCCATCCCATTTTTCCTGAATATACCTCCTGATTGGTCCAAGCTCCAGCAGTTGCATTCTTATTGGCCAGTTGAATGGCTTGTTTGTCTCCTATTGGCCAACTGTGACTGAGCTGCCTTGTCCTGCTTTGTGCTGCTCTGTGGACAGCAGCAGGGGTCTGTAAAGTGGAGGGAGGGAAAGAATTGAAGAAAGGACAGATTGGAACTAGATGAGGGAAGGGGGTATTGGGTGGGGGGGTTATGTAAAAAAACTGAGTGTGAGAGAAGGAAGATTTAGTGTAGAACAGAAACAGACAGGCAAAAGAGGAAGAGCCAGAAAGGGGAGGGAGTAAAGAGAGCTACCTCATCTTGAGCTGCCAGTACACACGGTGCCGGGGAGAAGTTGTGGGAAAGTAAACAGCACAGGAGAATTCAAATCTGTGTTCTATCACTTGCAGCCCTCAAAGGAGACTATAGAGATGGGAGTGCTGTTGTAAAAACTGACTATTTATGGGATGTTTCTAGGATTAAAGGGTCACCAGGGAGTGCCTGAAGCTTCTTGGAGGACATAGCCTGCTGTTACTGACAAGAAGGTGAGATGTGCATTTACTTATTTTCAAGAAACACTGCTGATTTATTTACTTGATTTTGTCGTTGCTCTGTCTTTCTTTTCTCTCTCAGCATGTTGGAAAGAAAGCATGTTTGTCCAAATGGGGCTATTGATGGAGTTGAGTTGGGGGTGGGTATGCTGGTTTGTCCCTGCCTGGCTTTCAGCCTGACAGCTATACGACCAGCTAAGAAGACAAGAAAATGTGGAGGAGGAGAGCAGGGGATGGACAGGGCCGATAAAGTGAAGCCCTTTAGCAAAGTACACAACATCATGGACAATTAAACCTTGGGCCTGACTCAAAGAGCCGGCAGGGATAGAGAGCATGAGGCCTTGTTATGATAGCCGTAGTTTCCGTGACAGGCTCCAGGAAGGATGGTTAAGGGATTTACAGCTCATCCAAAATCCACACCTATAGCTGGCAATTTTTCAGCTTCAGTGCACAGCTCTTATTGTCCCTCAGGCCATTATTGTCCCTTGGCCGGGATCTGGCCTACACCATTCCAGTTTTGACGGTTGCTTCCCAGAGTACAAAAAGCCCCTCCCAGGATGAATTTCACACTGGCTCTCAGCAGAATAAGCGTAGGGGGGATTCTGGGAGCAAAGGGATGGGAGGGAGGGATCTAAGGGACCTCTGACACAGTCTCTGCTCTGACCAAAGAAATTTGCATTTTAAGCTGAGGCACTGTTTCAGCCTTTTTTCCCCCCCCGGATGTCCTAAAGCTTTCTTGTCAAAAACTCTCTGAACTTCTAGTCACAGCCTGAGACCTCTGAAAAACATCCACAATCCAAGCATGCATTGCTTTAAACTATCGCAAAGACTTCTGTCCACTGACAGTCATCTTTTATTAGACGAAAACTTGCTCTCACGCCATCATTCACAGGGCCTTGATGCTCCACTACACAATAAGTCATTTGATAGTGGGGACACGCCTTCCACATGTTCAGTGATATAATGTACAACAAGCCCAGTACAGTCATCTGAGATTGTCTGATCATTAACCCGCAGAGGGAATTCAAGGATGTCAAAGGAAGCTGACTTTTACGTAAAATACTTTTGTGTCCAGGCCACATAACCTCATTCAAACGCAACAAATCAGCACAACTACACATTTAACCAACAGGGATTTCCTCTAAGCGTTTGAAGATAACTGTACAACAAAAACATTTAGCTGTTTTGTTACAGAATTCTCTTTATGTTGTGAGAAAGCTGCCCTGTTACGGACCCTAATGTTTATTTGTTCTTAACTGACCTGTTTCTAGATGATACATTTTGAAGTCATGATAAGGAGGGAGAGAGCTTTGAACAAAAACACATCTTCTGTGAACCTACCAGCCATTGTTTGATGGATATCTTATTAGGGCTGAGTTTAAACCATTCTGCCTTCAAACCATTATTTTATAAGGTAAAATACAAAATAAAAATATTGCAGTCCATATTAGTTTGACTGCTCTGCACAGTTATTAGCTAAAGTATGCATCCATTACATGAATCTCTTGCTTTACAGTTTGCTAAGGCTGCACTATTTGATTGAGATCTATTGGCTGTGGGGACCATTGGAGAGCACTGTTCTTCCAGTCATATATTAATTTCCTGGGATGGTGAATCAGAAGACAATGCATTGTTAAATAACTTATACGTTGTAAGAAAGAAAAAATGTTTTTAAATTATTTTCAGCAAACCCCAACCTTCCAGTCCTAATGTTGCAGCAACTTTTCTGTTCTTAGCAAACAAAACTGAAACCTATATTTATATTCTGCTCCTGTAGCCCATTTGCTTCATTGCCCGTCCTGTTGTTGTTCTAGAGTAGACACACTGTGGATAACTTGGCTCCAGTGGGAGGTTATTTACATACTACACCATCTATTTTTCTGAGCATTCTCTTGAAACCAGTGTCTAAACAGATTTAAATGACTCAAATAAGACTTTTTAGCATCAATTATGTCAAGTTTAAAGTCACTTGAATCGCATTCCTGTCTTTTTCCATGATACTTGATTTTAACTTCAGCATGTTGACCTGCCATTTCTAGCTGTCTATGAACTGACAGCGATTAAATAGGTGTAACAATTGAAGGGCCTAGCTGGTCTATAGAATATCAGCTAAATGGATCAGAATGATTTTTGTTCTAATGTATTTGATTTATGGAGTTTGGTGTTTGGAAAGTGTGTTAAGGTGAAGCTAAAAGTCTTTTACATTGTAGGAGAATGTCGCCCTTTTGTTTGTGGAACTAGTCAGTGTACATTTTTATTATTTATTTTAGTAAGGTGATAGAAATAAAGCAGATTCTAAGATTTAAAAAGACACACTGTTTACGCATTGTGAAAAAAATTTTTTTAAATAATTTTTTATTAATACATTTGTGAAGATGTTGATGTTATATGATAATGTTAATTAGTGAAATTGAGGTAGAGTGTTTTTTGATGCAGGTCTGTTTTTGTTAGGTACAAGGGAAATGGGACAGTTTGGATAAGCTTGGTATTGCATTTCATGTTTCAAAACCAAAATCACTAGTTCTGAAATAAGAAATAAAAAATGTCTGTTGTTGTTTTTCTTTAGGGTTAGGTACTGTATATTCATTTTCCCTTCTGCCTCACGCTCTGTTTTTTACTTTAAGGGTCTAATTTGTTATTAGCTCACCCAAAATAGTTTTTATGTGAAATTCTGGAACTGTTGAACTGTAAGCTAGAATGGCATTAAATCTTTTAAAAATGTGACTTCAGTAGATTTCTATTTGCACATATCTAGTTTGGGACATCAGAAAAGCAAACCGCTAACTATTGTGCTGATGCTACAATCAGCACTCTTTGTTACTCTTAGCACAAAGTATTAAAGATAACTACATGTCTTAATAGATACTGAGGGCAGCAGTGGACGGTAGCAATAAAATTACTTTATCACAGCAATAATTACTTTGAGATATATCTTATAATGCATATTGTTTTTACTATATCCAAGTCACAACTGTTTGCCAATCTTTGGTCTAAGTCGTAGGTCTTCCAATGAAGTTTATTCCAGAACTTGGCAAGACAAGACATTAACTAATCCTACCAAAAGTTTATTGTTACATAAGAAGAAAATATCTAGGATATATTTGCTGATTTTCTTATTTTCAAAACCACTTGTTCAGTTTTCCTAAGTAAAAACAAATGAAGACCTTTAAAAGATGAATCAATTAATGCACAATTCCTAACAGATTACTTCCTTTAGGTAAGACATGGCCACCACTAAATCTTGCAACTAAAAGCATGATTTGTATGCCTAGCTGGTTCCACAGTAAAGCAGGGAAAAGTTCTGCCTTCAAACCTAGTACTTGAAACTGTAGAAAACACAATAAAACGTACATTCTGAGTAATGCAGTTCTGGGTAAGGATAACAGGCAATGAGGAGATTGCTGATATATGATAGGGGGCCATCAAAAAGAGCTTATTTGATTCTGACAATGGTGGCTCAGGGTGTAGAAGTTTGTTCTTTAAGTGGTTAGGTACTGGTTTGAGCCCCTACTCCATCTGTCTCTGTAGTTGTGTCCATGGGGTAGACACCGATGTGTGGCGGCCTTGCTTCTATCAGTCTGCCCAAGGGCAGCTATAGCTACAATGTAGCTTGCCACCATCACAGTGTGAATGTGTGAATGACTGAATCTAGTGTAAAGTGCTTTTGGGTACTTGGATGTGATAAAGCGCTATATAGTGCAGGCCTGTATTAATTTATTTCCTAAAGGCAGCAAGTACAGAGATTGCAATAAAATAGAGATGGTCTTTTACTTAGTCTTGTCAATATATTTTCGAATTACCGGTAGAAGGAAATGTTTTACACCTGTTGAGGTCATTGAAGATAACCCAAAGATTTGTACATAAGGTATGAGGAGCATCATGTTTAACATTGCGGTGTCCATATAATCTGTAAAACTCCCTGCATAATTATAATAAAGCAATTTATATGCATGACAAGCGGAACACTATGGTAATAGCCGTACTGCTCCACTTGTGAAAGTAAAATCTGTTGGGCTCTTTTTGGCATCAAGACAATTATTCTTATTGCCACATTGCCAGACAGAACAATGTTAAAATAAAAGAAAAAGAAAAAAAGGAGCGTCATGTTTATGGGTAATCAAACTAAAATCTTTCAGCCTTTTTGTTTGTGCAGGATCCAAAATGCATGCTGCTATGAAGGTATAATGACTAATATCAGCTAAGACAGATCTGCAGAAGAAAAATATTTAAACTATGGTAACCCAAAAATTTGAAAATATTCAACATCAGACTCTCTTTGATGTTGATATTTACTTTTTAACGTTATGGGAGAATAATTCAAACTTTTTGACAAATGTATTGTTGTATTGCAATGTATTATAGTAACAAATATTAATTAAAATGTAGATAAAAGGAAAATTCAGACACCTTGAAACATCTACCGTAGTATTAGTTTTAAAGCCTCTTTAGATGTGCTTATTATTATCTTTTATGTTGAAATTAAATAATTCTGTGACACACTTATTTTTCTATACAGACTTTAGTATTTCAGCCAGCCATTTATGTTTTGTTTGATTTCTTGCATTACATGATAAATAAAATGGCTTCTGGTTGATGCCTGCTGTGTTCTTATCTGTGTTCAGCATGTGAAAAGTACAGCAAGAAATGTTTCCTTTTCATCGTTGTGTAATGAAAACAATTGGGAGATAGGAGGTAGAGGTTATTCTAACTGTGTCCTTGATTAATGGGATTTCATCAGCATCTCTCTGCTGTGTGGACTGACATTCCTCTCTTCAGCAGAGGGCAAATGAAGGCCAAGCTGACTGCCGAATGCATAATATATTCCTACATGTCTTGAACGCTGTCAAGACGAATGTAAACCTGAGGGGAAAATGCAAACAAATCTTCATCGAGGTCTGTGGATAATGCATCATGTTGTGTGTAAACTACATTATTGCATTCAATATGTCAGCTGCAACGCTGAAATTATGTTAAAGTTGAATTTAAAATAACTG